TCTGCGGCCTGCAGCCCAAACCATACCCCTAGCCCTGAGTACTCACACATCCCCTGTGAGCCCACCTAGGTAATGCAACAGAGGCTGTCTCAGTGGGGAGTGAACTTGGTACCTGTGTTGTTGTGTTAGTCAGGTATTTTAGAGGAACAAATCCATAGAAACTCATGTGTAGAAGAGAGTTTAAATAAAGGGTAAGTGCACATCAAGAAAACATCCCAACCCGGTGCTGCCCAAGCCCACAAGTCCAACATTAACCCATATGTCCGACACCAATCCACAAAGTCCTCCTCCATCTCAGAGAACACACGCAATGATGCCAACCGCAGGAGGAAAGCTGGATCAATGTATGTGTAAGCATCTCAGCGCTGGCAGGGGTCTCCACACAGCTGCTCCAGCACCCAGGGCTACATCGGGATAGGTCCATGTGGCTTCTCCTCAGGGATGTCTTGCAGGAAGTGAGCCTTGCCAGCTAAAGCCGGGAACTGGCTAAGGCAGCTGCACCCTGGTCCGACCATCAGAAAGCAAGAGACCCGAGAACTCAAAAGGCGAGGTTATCTCTCCACCCTTCAGTGTGTTTATCGGCCAGGTTGGCACAATAAACTTTAATTATATCAGCAAGTCAAGCACAGATTAGTCAGGACCTTGAGTAGCCCAGCGCCAAGGGCTTCTCCACTGTTTGGGCTGTCCTGGTTCCGATTCAGACTCTCAGGGTGAAGTCATTTACTGGCCCGGTGGCCTTGGGAAAATCATGCTGTCTTTCTGAGCTTTGGTGTAGTCACGGAAGCAGTGGGGATCATGAGATATAAGGGGAAAGGCCTCGAAGAGCCCAGACCACATAGGAGATGCTCACTAAAACCTAAAGATCCTCCCTGCCTGTCTGCCTGCCTTCCATTTCTTCTATTTGGTCCCATGAAACGCTTTGTTTAGAAGTTTGGGGACCGGCCTCACCTCTACATCTGCAAGTCCAAACCCCTCAGAATTGCCACTTAATCTCGGGTCCAGAAAGTGGGGTGTCACGCCAATCCCAACCCAGTGACACCCAGCCCGGCTCACGGAGGCCTTGATGAATGGGCTTAGTGGCCACGGGGCAGTTCTGGGGGAGTGGATGTGAGCAGGTGTGGGCAGGGCCAAGGCACTGTGGCTGCGGCCACCACACTTTGAAGACGGGGCCGGGTGATTTAGACCAGGTGACTTTCTGGAGCTAGGAGTCCTGGTGCAAAGTGCTGTCCTTGTGTCAGGTGCCACTGAATCAGTTCCAACTGACAGGAACCGTGTGCCATGGAATGAACACCTCACCACCACCACCACCACCACTGCCCTGAGCCATCCTCACAACAGTTCTTATATTGGAGCCCATTGTGGAGGCCACTGTGTTAGTTAGAGTGTCGAAAAGCAAGGATGTTTCTTGGAGGACTGAGGTGCACCTGAACCAAGTCATGGTATTTTCAGCCTCCTCCTATCCAAGTGGACGTTGGACAGTGCCCAAGGAAGACCCGAGAAGAATGGGTGTGGTGCATTGGAATGATGGTGCTGGAGCAAGGTGGGAAGCCCAGGAAGGTTTGCTGGCTGGCTCACTGGCTGGCTGGATGGCTGGATGGATGGATGGGCAGATGGATGGATGGGTAGGTGGATGGCGCCATCATTCCCTATCTAATTGGTCAGGCTTCTTCACCTGTATGTACCTCCGTTGTCCTCATCTGTACACTGAGCAATCAAGGGTGATTGCTAAGAACACATGGCCGAATGTTGGTGAAGGGGAAAGCCTGGGATTGCGACATGGTCAACAGGCAGGAAAAGGTAGATAACTAGGGAAAGAAGGAGGTGGTGAAGGAGACAGCTAGTCCCCAAGTGGAGGGAGTGTCCTCAGACTGGCAGAGACTCCAGGGAAGACCCAGCAAAGCCAAGGCAGGTCCATGGGGCTGGTCTGCCCGGCTGGGTGTGAGCTGAGTGCGCTGTCAGCGGCCTGGACTCAAAAGTCTTCTAAAGGAAGCTTCCCAGGGCAACCGGGGCAGAGGAGAGCAGGCTAGCCTGGTGCTTTCTGTTCCACCTTGCAGGGCATCCAGGGGCCTCCCAAACATTTCCAGCAGGGGTATGGGACTTAGAAGTTGGCTTAGGACTCAGTAGAGGTTGGCAGGGGGAGACACTGACTAGGGGGATAGTAAGTAAGCTGGTAAGGGGAGAAGGACACGGTCCAGTTTCAGAGATGCGGGTCCCACATGCTGCCTCTCTCTCTGTCTACCCTCTGGAGGCTATGAGTCCTAGCATTTGTAGAAAGCCACGTGGTAGGGACAGAGGTAGGAGGAGACGCTCTCTGACCAATGATCGGATCAAAAGGAGCAAGAAAGATATGAGTGATACCCACAGCAGCAATGAGCAAATGCCTGGCTTCAGCACAGGAAGCACTCAAAGAGTCTGCGGGTGGATGGCATTGTGTCAATAGAGTGCAACTGCCCCACAGGGCTTTCTAGGCTGTCATTTGTGTGGGAGCAGATCCCCAGGTCTGTCTCCTACACAGTGGCTGGTGGGTTTGAACCACGCCTCCCTTTCTGTTGGTAGTCAGGCACTTAACCATTGTGCCATCAGGGCTCCTTGCTGTGAGGCTAGGGGAGGGAAGGGCACACAGGGGAAGGAGGGATGCAGCAGGCGGGAGATGAGTTTGGCAGCGGGGACTGGGAAGAATCTCTGTGAGGTGCAGGGCACAGAGCACGGGTGTAGGTGGCAGGGGCAGCTGGGGAGCGATCCTTGAAAGCCATGAGCACTGGTTCCAATCCAACAAATACTCCCTCAGAACTTGAATCCCATGCATTGCTGACCAAGGCTTGAGGGAATGTCCATTCTTGAACAAAAAATCCAACTCACTGCCATTGAATGCACTGACTCACAGCAACCCTATAAGGCAGGGTCAGAGTCTCCCTGTGGGTTTCTGAGACTGGAACTCTTGATGTGAGTAGAAAGCCTCATCTTTCTCCCAAGAAGTGCCTGGTGGTTTCAAACTGCTGACCTTGCAGTTTGCAGCTCAAAGGGTAACCACTACACCTCCCCACTCGGGCCCTGAACCTTTGTGGGGAAGAAAGGAGAAACTGGAAAGGCACAGGCTAGATAGAAGGGAAATGCACCAAGAAAGGGCAGCAGGGAGCTGGGGTGGCATGAGTGTCCTCTAAGGGAAGGGGCTCTTGAGCCATGGGAGCCAGGGAAAGCTTCCGGGAGAAGGTGGGGGCAGTGGTGGTGGTGGTGGTTAGGCTGTGAATCATGAGGAATGGAAATATTTCAGCAGGCGGAAGAAAGTCCAGGGGAGCACATTCGTTCTGGTGGGAATGTCAAGAGCCAAGGCCAGGGAATGGGGCACTCTGAGTACAGGATGAAAGTCGGGCAGCCAGCCGTGCAGTTGGCTGAAATAGTAATCACAATTAATATACTGAAGAGTGCCTGCGTGTTGGAAACAGTGTAACACCCTCAGCTGCTAACCCAAAGATTGGTGGTTCGAGTCCACCCAGAGGCACCAAGGAAGACACATCTGGCGACCAATCTACTTCCCCCAAATCAGTCTTTGAAAACCTCTTGGAATGCAGTTCTACTCTGACACACACGAGGTTGCCTGCCGTGAGTCAGAGTAGACTTGACAGGAAACGGTATCACGAATAGAACATTTTGAGCCCTGAGTACCAGGAAGCACAGCCCAACAGGGGATGGGGGCATAGTGCAGTGCCGTGATGCAGGAGGGCATGGATACCAGGAAAGGAGATTTCGAGGCTTCAAAAGAGGAGCTGGCTCCAGTGGCCATGTAGGTGCTGAAACCAGGAAGGAAGCTGAAGAACGAAGTCCGCGGCTGGACATCCCAGGGAGCAGCACGTGGTGAGGTCACAGGGGGGCCTGAAGGAACAAGGCACCTATGGTCAGAAGCGCTCCCTCACCATAGCCATGCAGGCCTCCAGTCTGCTCTGGCTCAACCTGGACGCTGGCCGCAGGAGACTGGCGGAGTGGTGGTTGTGCACTGGGCTGCTATGGCAAGAAGAGAGAAGGCTCTGGCTGTCCTTCCTTGTCCTATAGGGCGGTCGTGAGTTGGAATGGACTCATCACAGGGAGTGTGGTTAGGTTTTTCAGTAGGCTGGCCTCAGTTTCCCCATGTGTGGAATCCTGAAATTCTCGGGGAGGTAGGATGGCGGTTGAGGGGACTGGCTTCCTGCCTTCCAGCAGTGCCCCCTCGGACTGTGGGAGCGACCAGGAGCAGCTGGGTTTCAGGCCCAGTTGCTTGCCCAAGGCCCTGGAAGCTGATAGGCCAGGCAGTGTGGTACAATAGAGAGGTCCCCAGCCCCTGACCCTTGAATCTGACCTCGTCCTGCTAAAAGGGAGCCAGGGGCAGGAAGGGGTGCTGTGCACAGCCAGCCTGGAGCTGAGTTTATTAGCCGCGGGAGGGCTGGAGGCGGCTGCATTCCGACCCACAGACTGGAACATTTCTGTGATCCGCTGTAATGCACTGGGAGACACTGGGCACATTGCTGAAGTTTGACTCATAGGGACCGGGAGGGGGGATAACTGAGGGGGGAGGGGCACGGGGCGTGGGGGGAGGGGGAGGAATGGGAGGGAGAGAAGAACATAAGAGGAAGGAAGGAAATCCCTTGAGAAATTTCTTTTTTTAAAAAAGAAAACTTTAAAAATCTGCACTGCCCCCACCTCCCCTTTTCTTTTAATAGGAACAGGCTGGACCCTTCTGTTCCCCTCAGCAGGGGTTTGGGGGTGTGTGTGCCAGTGAGGGAGGGCCTGGCAGTGATTCAAATCAGATCCTCGAACTTTCCTCAGGCAAGTTGTGTGTGTGTGTGTGTGTAGGGGGGGTGTATCTGCCTGATATCCCTTGCACGGGACGGGGTCCACACGGCTCCAGCTGCCCGTCCTGCAAGCAGCTGTTTGCTCATGGGCTGTGCATGCCTGTAGGTGTGCGCGCGGGGTCTTTCCTGGGAGTGTGTGTCTGGGTAAACGACTCTGCCCTGTGTAAACATGGATGTCTGCTCGGGTCCGTTGTGTATGCCAGTGTGCGCGCGCTCAGGTATCCGGGA